CAGGTTTTTGGGGCGCGTTCCCAGTACCCCCCCCCCCCCCCCCCCCCCGCGGGGGGTTGCGGAATTCGGAGCTCGGTTGGGAGGATCGTGTTTAGACTTCTCTTTCATCAATCAAGCACAAGGCAGGGGAATGGAAGGCAAGATGTGGAAATGGGGTAGATTGACTTCTAGAGCTGCGTGGTGGGAGTTTTGCACTGGGACGTTGTTTCTTTCCCTCTTTTCTTTCTGAGGGGGTTTTGTATCTTTATTGACTGTATATCAATACACTACGTCGACTTACGAATTTCAACTTACGAATTTCATATGATATTATATAATAAGGGTAGTACTAAGACTAGTGCTATTAAGTATATTGAAATAATTAACATTTTTTTGCGCGCCATAATGTGAAGTAACTGAACAAACTTGAGCAATGTGGATAATTATGTAAGTACTGCAACCTGCAACCTGGTTCGAAAATAAGGTAACAAGAGAATAGAAAATGGAGGGGAAAAACACTAATCACACCGCAAAGAGGGGGATACTTTCGCAAAATAAAAAAAACAACAATAAAAACAAGAACTTCATAAGGCGTAGCAGTGCTCCGTAGTGGGCGTACATTAATATGTCATGGTATCATGAGCGTCGTCGTCTCATAATAATTACCATTTCCCCGTTCTTTTCCTGTCCTTGCGAACTGACCCTGACCCTGAACCTGAAAAGAAAGCAAAAAGAACCACCACGATCCGCCTAGACCCAGAATTTCCTTAAAGCCGTGATGAAAAACCAAATATAAGAAAACAGGAACTCAGAACACCAGTCGCTGTAAAAAGAGAAATGTGAAAGATTAAAGAAATTACGTCGTAACAGCAGAGAAGGACTCCGACAAAAATATGTACGGACATTAGTAGAGCAAATAAAAACTATCGGCATAAGAGAAGAAAGAGTATCGAGCAATAAAAGCAAAATGAAAGGAGATAATGAAAAAAGCAGAGAGAAATGTGCCACCACGCTTGCAAAGACAATAAACTACTGCACAGAAACCACGTAAAACTGTCGGAGAGTTAAAGCGCAAAAAAGGAACCATACCATAACATCATATAGATGTGGTCATGGGAATCAAGAAAACAGGAAATCAGGAAGCAAGTACCGGAAAAAAGATGTCCGTTTCCAGAGCCCAAAGAAGGAAACAAGGAATCCAGATACCAAAAATATGAAATAAAAAAATGAAAAAAAAAAAAAAAAAAAAATTGGCGAAACCAAGGTATAGGCTAAAAGAACGAGGAGGACTCCAACACCCCAAAACGTGGAACAAGAAATTATTATTGTAAAGGGCTTTGGTTATTGAGTTTTTGATTCAAAATCTTGGGTTGTTATTATTGCTTCTGGATCCAAAGTATGACTGATTTTGAAGAAGCTGCTTGGGAGAATTGCCATCATTATCGGTGTGACCGATTTTTGTAAAGCCTTGAAGGAGGTCAATTCCGTCAACCTCTGCATTGTCTTCACTGAAGAGATTGAATGAGAACAAGTCATCGTGAGAAATATCATTATAATGTGATGTATTGGGCTTCTTGGGTGAAGATTCGAAGTATTTGGGACCTCTCGCCCTGGATGCTTTCATCGGCGGTGGGGTGTTTAGTCGACTATTACCATGAAGGTCTGTGATGTCTGTAAGCAAGTTGCTGGTTAGATTGGGACGGTCCGCACGCTGACGCTTGACGGATCGCTTTTCTGGTGAACCATAAGTAGGGGTGGAAATGGTGTTTGGTAGCTGCTCGGCGAAAACATCAAACGGTATGGTGAGATTATCATTCGAAAGGAAAGCATCGTCTTGGATGTTGAATGCAGGGCTCCAGGGGAGAACATCATCGGTGAGGCCATAGCGCTTGATTGGAGAATTCACCATCTGTTGAATCTTCTTGCGATGGTTCTGTAGGTTTGTATTAGGAGAGAGGGAAGGTGGAGGTTTGACTGGTTTCTTAAACTTAATTGCTGGAGTAATAGGTGGGGGAAGCATATTGTTATATTCATGTCGAAGAGGTGATGATCCAATCAGCTGAGTAGCATCTTTCAGCGTTCCAATACGCAATGGACTAATATCATGAGACGAGCTTCGAATGCGTGCAATTTCCTCTTCAGCGCGCCCTCGCTTGATACGAGGTTGCTCAATATCCAAATCAGAGGTTATAATGTGACCGGCTTTGTGTGGACGCATTGCAGAAGATTCGAGTGAAGAATAATAGCCACTGTCATTCATCGCCGTAGCGCTGCGCTTCCTTGAACGGGGGATGGCGGCTGAAGAGGTGACTGGACGAGATGGAGTTGGAGGAGTAGCCTGGCGGTGGTAGATAGAAGCAGCAATGGGAGGTGAAGAATGAATAGGGTGTGGAGACGATGAGTGGGGAAAATGGGATTGGGGTATGGCAAGGCGTCCAACTTCATCTCCACTGTCTTCGTGAAGTGCAGGGTCTGAAGCAGGCAAAGTAGCATCAGAAGACAGGTCTACATTGGCAGTTTTAGAGGGTTGGCGATTCGAAGGTGGCATATAAGATGTTGTAGCAGTGGTTGTCACGCTTAACACTGGGGTGGATGTAACCGCAACAGTGTTTGTAGATTTGCTGGTAGTAGTGGTAGTCGCAGACGTGGCAGCCGTGGTATTAGTGACGGTGGTGGCTATGGCAGTCGTAGTAGAAGTTGGACAGACATGAGCAGGCGCTGAAGGCTCAAAACGCGGCTCCATACGAGGGGCAGACTGTGCCACAGGGATACCAGAAATAGTGTTTCGACGCAAAGGTTTATCCTTGAGGAACTGAGTTTCCATGCCAGGCGCAATAGCCCAGTAGTTGCCCTTTCCAGGGTCATCTTTTGGGCGTTCGTGCTTGATAAAAGCTTTGTTCAAACTGAGATTATGGCGGATACTGTTCTGCCAGCCCGAGTCGCCAGCACGGTAGAAGACAAAAGTGTCTGAGATCCACTTGTAGATCTGGGCAAGAGTCAGACGTCTGTTTGGTGAGCGCAGAATGGCCATTCCAATAAGAATAGCATAGCTATATGGGGGTTTCGAGCCATCATCCTCAACAAGGGGCATATCTGTAGGATTTGGTACTTCAACAAAAGCCGATTCTTCGCGCTTGGGTTTCTTGGACTGACGTTCCTTCATCGGTGCAGGTTCCATTAATGATCGTTTGGCAGGAGCAGCGGTTGCAGAGGAAGGATTTTGAAAGGAAGGCTTAAAGTTTTCATTGTGTGGGCCGCTCATGTGATGATGATGAATATGCGGTACCTTGGGCGCATTCTGGCGGTCTGTAGGAATACTGGAAAAGGTGGTAAAGAGAGGTTGCTGTGTCATTGGCGGGACACGTTGGGAATAAGCCTGATCATTAGAAGGTTTTGTTGGTGAATCCGTGGTAAATGCGACGGGATTGGGTGCAGATATCGGGACAAAGCCCAACTTCTCGCGGTGACCCAAATCTGACATGCTTGGCCGACGTTGGGTCTTCACAGGAGAGATAGGACATGGTCCGTTGGAAGGGAGATTCAAGGAGAAATTCTTGTTAATCGACGCGTTTCTCATGGGCTGCAGTGGCATGGGAGAAGGTTGTAGACGATTTGGCTTGTTGGAAGAAGTAGGGTTGGGAACTTGAGTCACACCACCGGTGCCAGCCCCGGGTGGAGGATGGCCAGTGTCCTGGTAGATGCGCAAAGGCGATGGATGACGCGTCGAAGCCATCACAAAAATAACGACAGCAAAGCCAACAATGACAAAACCACAAACTAGAGTAAGATTAACACGTCAAACGGGCGTGTATCGCGAGGGAAAGGGTGAGAAGTTGGGATAGGAAGATGTCAAAGGAGCGGAGAAATCGAAGAGTTGGGAAAAACAAGATCTGCACTAGCGGGGATGTGGCTGTGGTAGGAGGAGCTGAGGAGACAAACCCGCCAACTACAGAACAGAGCATGCAAAAGAGGGGTTTTTGTAAGGGAAAATAAATCGCCCGGGGGCGGGCGGGGGGGGGGGAAGGGGGAAATGATGGGTGGATTGAAGTGGGAGGACGAGGAGAGCAGAGACGGAGATGTGGACTATTGACGGGAA